ACATTCAGCGCCTTGGTGACAGGAAAACGCTGCGGGTCAAATTACCATATAAAAAAGTAGTTCGCCGCGTGGGGTAGCACTACATATGAAGGCAGTGTGAGCTTGGCGCTGAAATCAATGAGCATGATAGTCAGCCCGAACTATAGCACAGTTAAACGGAGGTCGGGCTGATATGGGTTCAATACACTGGGCACGTTTAAGACATATCACATTGTTAGTGTTCTATATATAGTGTGTGGATTTGACTGTGAGCAGTTAAAATATAGTTTACCCTTAAAAGACCAACGCAAATTAAAGACAACCCAACACATTGCATCAAACATGGATAAAACGATTATTAAATGGATCTCTTATATTTTTATCTTGATATTTTTGTTAAGACGAGAAATAATTATGCATGGGTAACCCTGTTTTTCAGAATAGTCTGATACATCGTTTTACATTGAAATGACATCCATATATCGAATCATGTTCGAAATGCAGATTCTATAAGAATATGAAAATACTGGCTTGGAATTATTTTTACGATACCTGCCTGATGAATGCAAATTTATTTGGTCCCAGTTTAGACTGTTTTTGTCACCGTCTACCATTTGAGACAGGTAGAGTGTATAGTGTAACACTATCTGATAAGAAATGTAATTCATGGCGGTATGTGAAATTATAACCCAGATTATTACCATATTTGTTTAACTGTCAGTATTTTAATGTTTTACAAAAGAAATTACTCATGCATGCAACACTCGCTGAACATCTGTATTTAAAATGATCGGTTTATTTCAAAGCAAGAATGTTTCACTTTTGATCCAATCGTCAAACTTTTGTAGTTCAATTCGTTGTAAATTTAAGTTGAAATATTGTCACCATTTTATATTATATTCACCTCTATTGACTCCTTATTGTGCTATGTATATAGCCTTGTGCGAAAATAAAGGTCAGCTCAGATCAGACACGCTGCAAAGAGTTGTATCGTCTTGAGATACCATGAACGGTATCAATAAAGTCGACGTATTGCACAAGACGCTGAAATATCGTGGCTATATTAGAAGCTTTAAAGTGTACTCTGTATAGCCGTTCAAGCCGATATATCGGATAAGTCGAAGGTTTGTGATCCCCAAATACATAAGTTTGCCGCAGTGAGTCGAAGAATGTATTTTAACGATTGACTGGAGGTGTATATTTCACACTGGGTATATCGAGATGTCATCCCAAACAGCTCTGTTCAGTTCTCATTAAGTCGACAAATTAGTCGTGTGATCAACGATAACAACCGAAACTCGAGAAACGCATTGCGTCACAGAGATGGAGTTAACACATCGCCAACAATACCCTTATAGTCTGTCTGTCCGCCCGTCTGTCTGTTTGTCAGTCTGTTACCTGTGAAATGTACCTGTATACACCTTACTAGACTAACAACTGGTCTCTGAAATGAACATATTTTACAACAACAACAAAACAGTTCATTAAAAAAATTATAATGAAAAGGAGCCCTGAGACTTTCTTCATAAACTGTGGTAATCTAGACTAGCATGGGCTTTCTTGGATATATTTGTTTCGGGGTCTGTATGACAGACTAACACATTAGGAACTGTTGAGCTATTCATCGTCAATAATCTCACTGATGGCAGTCACTCGTGTTGTCACCACAGAGTGATATACTGAAGGACAAAAAAAAGGGATCACATGAAAGCACAAGTGTTCCTTTATTTTTTTCCAGGTTTCTTCACAAGCGTTGTATCGTATAGCTTGTAAAGAAACTTTGAAAAAAAATAAAGGAACACTTGTGCATCAATCAATCAATGCTTTATTGTTTTCAAGGCCATATGACCCATAATACATTGTTACATTTTTGTTCATTAATTGCCAGCATGAGTTTCAAAGATCAAAGATATTCTCCTCTTATGCGAAACACATTATACAGATATTTTCCCAGCATAAACAAGTGGGTACAATCAGTAGAAATCAATAATGATTTTAAATTATCGATATTTTTGGTATGAGTGGATATACATGGAACATCATTACGAAATTCTTTGTACAGAGGACAATGATATATAATGTGACATTCATCTTCGGTAACTTTACAAAGAGAACACATAGAATCTTTATCTTGATAATCACTTAAGTCTTTTCTAATACACTGTATGCCTAATCGGTTGAAGCAACATCTAAATAAGAGAAGCGCTTTTCTATATTTGATATCTTTAACATTGTATATGTACAATTCTGGAGAAAGTGAATGTTTTATAAAAGAGTAGAATTGTAATGACGTTCTATCAGATAGCTCAGAATGCCAATCTTGCCTGGCGCAGTCAATCACTCTTTCTTTAAAAATATTTAAAAACATATCAATATCCCCTACCCCTTGTTGAATCCATACATGGCCAAACCCATAAGTAAATAATAGATGCATTATATTAGTTGCCCAATTAGACCGTTTTCTATTACACAATTGTTTCATCATAAGATACGATTGGTGAGGATATCTATATGACGGCATGGTGATTAATTTCAGCCAATATCTTATACAATTCTTGTATGATTTCACATATAATGGATATCTCCCACACTCACCATACAAAGCAGCATTAGGAAATGACTTACTAACATTTAATAAATATCTGCAAAATGATCGGTGAACAATTTCTAGCTGCTTCATTTCCTTGAATCCCCATATTTCGCTACCATACATTAAAATCGGTACAATTTTCGCATCGAATATCTTAAAGGCATCTGTAATATCTATATTATATTTGCGAATAAGACATTTCAAAGGGAATAAGGCTTTGTTTGCTTGTTGCGATAAAACGGTACAGGCTCTTGTCCATACAAGCTTAGGGGTCATCATGATACCCAAATATTTATATGCATTAACTACTTCTATTTGTTCATCATTATAAGTCCACTTTTCATATCGTGATAATGGTCCCCCGTTTCTGAAGACAATCACTTTTGTTTTGTCGAGATTGATCTCCATGCCCCATTTCAAACAATAATTATGTAGGAAATCTAGCTGTTTTTGCAACTTCAGAGGGGTATCAGCCACTAATACTAGATCATCTGCAAATAGTAATGATAACACATTATACATTTCCTCTGATATAAATACACCATTGTCAAAAGTTTGACTCATTGTTTCCGAGAGTTCCTTGATAAATATCGAAAACAACAGGGGGGCTAAGAGCACAACCTTGTCTAACTCCTGTAGAGCAAACAAAATAATCAGATAATTTATTTCCACCAATAACAACTGCAGACTTCACCTTATTGTACAAATCTTTGAGAATATTAAATATATTTCCATGTATACCATTATTTAAAAGGAGAAATAAAAGCTTTTGTCTATTAACCATATCGAAAGCCTTTTTGAAATCAACGTATGCACAGTAAAACCTTCCTTGTTTTCTTGTTGTATACTTTTGGATAATAGATTGCAGGATAAAAATGTTATCTATTGTCGAATGGAGTTTTCTGAAACCACCCTGATATTCTCCGATAAGGCAATTACTCTCAATGTAATCATCTATTCGCCTGTTAATTATATTTGTAAACAGCTTGCTCATAGTATTAAGCAAGGAAATGCCTCTATAGTTGTTAGGTTCGTTAGGATTACCCTTCTTATAAATAGGCATTATTATTGCAGTACTCCAAGCTTCAGGGAACTCCCCTTTATCTAGAATGCGATTAAAGAGAAGAACAAGATATGGGGAAATAAATTCCTTAATAATCTTGAAAAATTCTGATGGTATTCCATCATTACCCGGCGTTTTATTTGGTTTCGATCTATCTATTGCTGCCTCTACTTCACATATAGTTATAACATCTGATAGATCATTGTCACCACATTTGCTACAATTATGACAATCATGTTCATTAACAAAAGTTTCAATATAGTCATCAAACACACTGTCGCCATTCATGTTTAACATAGGGTTCAATAAATCTTTAAAATACGAATGCCACATTTCTGCAGATATATTACAGTTATTATTTGATTTAGGTGAATATTTCTTAACAAGACTCCAAAAGCTTTTATAATCATTACTCTTGGATGCTTCAGTTAACGTTTTGGAGACACTTTCACAAAATAACCTTTGTTTCCTTTTACACAGCTGTTTAAACCCTTTTCTGCTTTGATCATATACACTAAAAGTAGCTGTAGATGGATATTGTCTAAGATGATCTAAATATTTATATTTGGTTTTCTTAGCCAACTGACATTCTAAATCAAACCACTCTGGCTGTTTTCTTTTATGATTGCATATTGTGGTACAGTAGACCACACCCTCACATCTCTCTCACTGAAAAGGTTAATGGTCAGTGTTAGAGGGAGATGGTCTGACTCGCTGCGTGATATAACGTTAAAATCAGTCACAGTTGGGTACAAGCAAGATGACACGCATATGTAGTCAGGAGTACTGAATCCATTTGGACCAATATAGGTAAAGTCACCAGACGCATTAGACCATCTTCCATTTAGTATATTGATATTAAATAGTCTGCATAAGTCTAAAAACTGCTTCCCATAATTATTGACAACATTGTCCTTGTTAACACGGGGTGGAGGGGGTGTTGAGGTGGCATCGTACATAAAATCTTCAAGAGGCAGGAAGTCGATACTGTCATCTTCGATATGATCCAGCTCGTTACCAGTTCTGGCGTTTAAATCACCACATAGCAAGATGTCACTGTCTGGATAGTCAGTCTTGAGGTCAGCCAGACGAGCTCCAAGAGTCTCTATTCCATCACAGTAGTCGCTCGTTTCTGGCGAAATGTAGATGAATCAACATCATTATGAACGGTCCCTAAGAGTTTTATTTCTTCATATAAAAGAATCGCAAAGCACTAAAACAACGAAAGAATGATCACAAGTTCGCGTCATAAAATATGAATGTCTAAACACGAAATACTTATATTGTACGTCCACTTCGATGGATTTATCGGATGGGAATTCCACCGGAAGGGATTTTCCCCCATATATCAAAACGAGGCTGGGGATTCCCTCGCAGATGTCGCTGTGAACGAGCTTTACATGCATAATTATTTTGTGTAGAAAAGCAACGAATCACAGATAATTCTTTGGTCGACACGTCAGACAGTTGTGCCATGTTTCAATGTGTGATATCAAGGATTGTGACTCAAAGATGTGCGAATTTCCAACATGGAATATGCCGGAGAACATTTCAAGGGGATAAAATGATAAGAAAATTATTCCAACAGTGTGAACAGACCTCACAATCACATCGAGGAATTCACAGATCTGCCATAATGTTAGTTGCCATGACTCGTAGGCACAAACCGGCAGTTTCAAAGAGACTGTTATCAAAATCGCTTACTGTTGAATCTTCCATTGCAAACAGATTAATAGAAAAATGGATCTATGAAGTTGACCCTTTTGGGAAACTTGACATTAACGTCCCTTTTGATGTTGAAATCTCAACTCTAAATCCGCAGGAATATCCAGAAATGAACAAGGCATTAATAACTGTACTCACCAAGGAGGATGGTCAGAATGACAAAGCCAGATCGTTTGCAGATATTTACAACTTAAAGATAGATTTGTGTAGTGATAGGAAGAACTTGACAGTGACGACCGACATGGCAGACGGAATAGTCCTACCTGTGACATGCAGCATTAAACTACCGCTCAAGTTTGGTAATTATCAGGTTTACATTCAACCAGTATTTCTCATCACGTCATACTGTTTTATATGTCATGTGCCATTATTAATATGGCATCATTTAAGAATCAGTCCTTATTTATTTTAGTCCCGTGAAGATCCGCGTTGAATTGATCTTCAGTAACCCATGCTTGTCGTAAGAGGTGACCTTTAAGAGGGATCGGGTGGTCAGGCTCGCTGACTTGGTTAACACATGTCATCGTATCCCAAATGCGTAGATCGCTGCTCATGCTGTTGATCTCTTGGTTGACTGGTCAAGACTCGATTATTTACAGACCGCCGTAATATGGCTGGAATATTACTGAGTGTGGCATAAAACTAAACATGGAGACTCTGGGAACAAATTCAGTAAACTAAAGCAAATTCAAAGGGACCACTAATTTTAGTTTGTTACAACCAAACTTCCGTCTGCACATTTTGACTAAAATATACAACATATAGACGCTACAAAAATATCAGTTTGTTTTATTCATGAGTTTGTTTATAAGCATAGCTTAAGTTATTGCATTTCCAATGCAGCCCATGCAGGTCTAGCTTTCTGCAGGCTCAGTGTGGACTCTTGTTTTGTTATATCTTGTTAAGTTAATATGTTAGTCTATATTGCCCAACTCAATATATTGTTGTATGTTATCCAGGATATGTAGCATCATTACACCCAAGCAATATTTCAGTCTGATACTGGTCATTTAGTACACTATTTGGGTCTGAGTAATCCCCCTTTAACAATTTATTCTGTTATGTTTTCTGTGTACAGGATGTGCTGAGAATGGATATATGGATACATAAACCTTGTTGTATTCAGATGTAAAGCGGGGCGGTGGGGTAGCCTAGTGGTTAAAGAGTTGGCCCGTCACGGCGAAGACCCGGGTTCGAATCCCCACATGGGTACATTGTGTGAAGCCCATTTCTGGTGTCCCCGCCGTGATGTTGCTGGAATATTGCTAAAAGCGGCGTAAAACCAAACTCAGTCAGTCAGATGTAAAGCGGAAATATCATCAGCTGGACCTGACAAAGCATATGGTAGATTCTGGCTGTCATTTCTAAACCTACCCCTAAAACCAGACCCTAGTCCAGCTACCTCTCATTTCTGACCCAGCCTGGAACACCAGGCCCTAATGGAGTCAGCTCTTTTCCAACCCAACCCAGGCCCTAAATAATAATGGGAAGAAAATGCAGCCTGTTTATGCACATCACAATCACAATCACAATCCAGTATTTACTGAAGTCATGGTAGAATGGCAGATAGCCTATCTGGCTAGGTCAGTTCCATCACTTCCTGATTTTGATCTGTGACAATGTTTTCAGCTTGACTGAAGTCATATCCAAATGACTATGCACTTGGACTTTCTTTATGTTAATTACACATGCTTGTGACTCTGCATGGCATGGACCACTGTCTGCTAGCATACTCACTCTGCATGACATGGACCACTGTCTACTAGCATACTCACTCAGCATGACATGGATGCCTGTCATGCATACTCACATGGACCACTGTCTGCTAACATGCTCACTCTGCATGACATGGATGCCTGTCTGCTAACATGCTCACTCTGCATGACATGGATGCCTGTCTGCTAACAAGCTCAGTCTGCATGACATGGACTACTGTCTGCTAACATGCTCAGTCTGCATGACATGGACCACTGTCTGCTAACATACTCAGTCTGCATGACATGGACCACTGTCTGCTAACATACTCAGTCTGCATGACATGGACCACTGTCTGCTAACATGCTCAGTCTGCATGACATGGACCACTGTCTGCTAACATGCTCAGTCTGCATGACATGGACCACTGTCTGCTAACATACTCAGTCTGCATGACATGGACCACTGTCTGCTAACATGCTCAGTCTGCATGACATGGACCACTGTCTGCTAACATACTCAGTCTGCATGACCTGGACCACTGTCTGCTAACATGCTCAGTCTGCATGACATGGACCACTGTCTGCTAACATACTCAGTCTGCATGACATGGACCACTGTCTGCTAACATACTCAGTCTGCATGACATGGACCACTGTCTGTCAACATACTCAGTCTGCATGGCGTGGACCACTGTCTACTAACATACTCACTCTGCATGACATGGACCACTGTCTGCTAACATACTCAGTCTGCATGACATAGACCACTGTCTGTCAACATACTCAGTCTGCATGGCATGGACCGCTGTCTGCTAACATACTCACTCTGCATGGCGTGGACCACTGTCTACTAACATGCTCAGTCTGCATGACATGGACCACTGTCTGCTAACATACTCAGTCTGCATGACATGGACCACGGTCTGCTAACATACTCAGTCTGCATGACATGGACCACTGTTTGCTAACATGCTCAGTCTGCATGACATGGACCACTGTCTGTCAACATACTCACTCTGCATGACATGGACCACTGTCTGTTAACATGCTCAGTCTGCATGACATGGACCACTGTCTGCCTAACACCACAGTCTGCATCTGACCACTGTCTGCTAACATGCTCAGTCTGCATGACATGGACCACTGTCTGCTCTGCTAACATGACTGGACCACTGTCTGCTAACATCTGCATGACATGGACCACTGTCTGCTAACATACTCAGTCTGCATGACATGGACCACTGTCTGCTAACATACTCTGCATGACAGTCTGCATGACATGGACCACTGTCTGCTAACATACTCAGTCTCTGCATGACCATGGACCACTGTCTGACTAACATGTCTCAGTCTGCATGACATGGACCACTGGCTAACTCAGTCTGCATGACATGGACCACTGTCTGCTAACATACTCAGTCTGCATGACATGGACCACTGGTCTGCTAACATGCTCAGTCTGCATGACATGGACCACTGTCTGCTAACATACTCAGTCTGTCTGCATGACATGACACTGTCTGCTAACATGCTCAGTCTGCATGACATGGACCACTGTCTGCTAACATACTCAGTCTGCATGACATGGACCACTGTCTGCTAACATGCTCAGTCTGCATGACATGGACCACTGTCTGCTAACATACTCAGTCTGCATGACATGGACCACTGTCTGCTAACATACTCAGTCTGCATGACATGGACCACTGTCTGCTAACATGCTCAGTCTGCATGACATGGACCACTGTCTGCTAACATGCTCAGTCTGCATGACATGGACCACTGTCTGCTATACAGTCTGCATGACATGGACCTCAGTCTGCATGACATGACCACTGTCTGCTAACATACTCAGTCTGGACCACTGACATCTGTCTGACCTAACTAACATACTCAGTCTGCTGCATGACATGGACCACTGTCTGCTAACATACTCAGTCTGCATCAGACTGCATGACATGGCTAACCACTGTCTGCATGACATACTCAGTCTGCATGACATGGACCACGGTCTGCTAACATGCTCAGTCTGCATGACATGGACCACTGTCTGCTAACATACTCAGTCTGCATGACATGGACCACTGTCTGCTAACATACTCAGTCTGCATGACATGGACCACTGTCTGCTAACATGCTCAGTCTGCATGACATGGACCACTGTCTGCTAACATGCTCAGTCTGCATGACATGGACCACTGTCTGCTAACATACTCAGTCTGAATGCATGACATGGACCACTGTCTGCTACCATGCTCAGTCTGCATGACATGGACCACGGTCTGCATGACATGGACCACGGTCTGCTAGCACATTCAGTCAGCACAACATTAACTACAGTTTGCCAACATGCTCTGTAAGCATGACATAGTTCACTATTGGCATGTATCTTAGCACTGCATTGACCGCTTTCGGTTGGCATGTACAATCAGCATGGCATGAACCACATACACTACGCTCAGTCAGTCCAGCATGAACCACATACACCACGCTCAGTCAGTCCAGCATGAACCACATACACCACGCTCAGTCAGTCCAGCATGAACCACATACACCACGCTCAGTCAGTCCAGCATGAACCACATACACCACGCTCAGTCAGTCCAGCATGAACCACATACACCACGCTCAGTCAGTCCAGCATGAACCACTGCATTGCACGTCAGTCAGCATGAACCACATACACCACGCTCAGTCAGTCCAGCATGAACCCAGTCAGTCCAGTATGAACCACATACACCACGCTCAGTCAGTCCAGCATGAACCACATACACCACGCTCAGTCAGTCCAGCATGAACCACATACACCACGCTCAGTCAGTCCAGCATGAACCACATACACCACGCTCAGTCAGTCCAGCATGAACCACATACACCTGTCAGACTGTCACACATTCAATCAGCATGAACCACATACACCTGTCAGACTGTCACACATTCAGTCTGCATGCCATGTTACTGAACAAAGCCAGTATGCTAGTATGTTCATGAGTTTGATATCCTCTAATCATTATGCAGGACAATTTACCAACATGCATGTAGCGACTGTAGAAACTTATCAACCAACTGACATTCAGGACATCAGCTGCATGTAAATGGTAAACTGTAGCATTATGCAAGGTTCTGACTGCTGGCTGCCACTGTGCACACAGGCAGAATATCTCCATCAGACCAAATGTTCGAGATAAGTCCTTGAGACTGCAGCTGGATTCAGGAGAGACACTTATTCATATATTTACACTTTTTTCTATCATTCACAATTTGATAAGAAGAAAACTTGAATTTTATGTATGTTTTAAAATATGAAATTTAGAATAAGGTGTTATTTCACACTTCTTAATTTACATTAATGAAATCAAGTATCACTGATAAAGCAATTGGGCAAATTCACCTAGTGGGTGATTTGACGCAGGGGAGACTAGGTCTGGGGAGGGGGGACAGTTGGCGGGGCATGAAGATAATTGTAGACCCTCTTGATCCATTTAAAAGAAATATGTAAAATTAATTTAAAACTATTATTACTTGGAAGCATGTTGGGCTTTATGACATGGACCACCATCTGTTGGTATGTTCAGTTTGTATGTTCAGTTTGTATGTTCAGT